TCTTACTTTTTTAAAATTTTTGTAAATAATTTTATAGTATATGGGTATCAATTATCAGAAACAATCTGTATTTATAATTAAAATACTCTAATTAATATAAGTATTCATTATTTTTCATCTCTTTTTTTTTTCTTCCCTCTAATTTTATAAAATAAAAAAAAAAAAAGGTATGTATAATTATTTTCATAGTTTTATTCGAATAATTTTTCTTTTTTTTTTTTGTAGTAATAAAAATTTAAAAAAAAGAAAATTTGTTGAAATACGATGACATTTTTGAATTAAATATTTAAATAAAAAAAGAAAACATATATTGAATCATATTTTGATATGTTTAGAAAAAAAAAAAAAAGATCGTTCAAAGGTTAATGGAAGAAAAATTTTTCATTACAAACTACGGGCGCAAATAATCAAAAGTAAAAAAAAAAGAAAGTATATGAAAGGACGAAAGCTTTCCTGTTTGTTCCAACATTTTCATTTTTGCATTTATATCAGGGAATGAAAAAAAAAGAGAGGGAGAAAGAAAGAGAGGGAGAGAGAGAAAAAAAAAAACAAAAACTTTTTTCCCTCTCTCGATTTACTGGTGAATATTTTTTTTTTTCCCCGTAAGCAATTATTGACGTATTTCTTTAGGTGTAATAAGAATGTAAAATATTAAAAGTTTTTTTTTTTTCGCTTTTTTTTATTTCTTTTCCTTTGATTAATTGATAATTAAAATTAATTTGTTGCTCTAAAAAAAAAAGGCATTGATTAAATTCTGAAAAAAGGAATTTAAATTTTTTAAATTTTCTTTTTTCATTACAGATTATAGGCAGGAAATAGTAAATGTAATATATTTTTTAATGTAGTATTTATAAGGAAAGTTGTGATGAAGAATGTTTTGTAATTTGTTAATTTTTCCTTTTATATTAATGGTTAATAACATATGTGGAAATGGAAATGGAAATAGAAATGATATTTGATATAAGAAATATAAAATAGGTATTACTCGTAAATGGAGAAGGAGATAAAAGAGAAAGGATGATGAGAAGGGTGGAAAAAAAAAAGGAAAAAATTTTGTTAATTTTCATTTATCTCTTTTCCATCCATTAATTTGAGAATGAATTTTTGGGATTATAAATGAGAAAGAGAGAGAGTGAGGGAAAAAAAAAACAAAGGAAATGAAATGAATTAAAATTCCATAATGAATTATAATATTTTTTTATTTAAATTGGAATTTATTTGTTAGTTGAAAAAGAAATTTTCAATTTTTCCATTTCAATCATATCGCTAATCAATTAAATTTGTATTCTAATTAATTTTAATTTTGTTGTTGCTAAGTGAATTCAAAAAGCAGGAATTTGGAAGAAAACATTAATTTCATCGTTTCTTTCTTTCTTCCTCTCTCTCTCTCTTCTTTCGTTTTTTTTTTTTTTTTTTGTTCATTTCTGATGATTTCATTACAAATGAAGTATAAATGTTAAGCAAAATTAATTAGAGTTAAGAATAAAAATGTTAAATGTCTTTCTTTCCATTCCCTTTTTCCATCTTTTTCAGGTTCTTTCTTCTTTTTTTTTGCGCTTTTTCTTTTTTTTGCGCCTTGTTTCATTTTTACATTGGAAATTTTCAAACTACTCGTTGATAAAATGATATATGTTTTTGTTGTAATGTAACTTCTCTTCTATTTTAACAATTCACGAAATTTTTTCAAATATTTGAAAATAACAAAAAAAAAGGAATATAATTAAAATTTAAAATTAATAATCGATTAATTTGGTCATAATCAATAGCAACAAAATATAATTAAAATTTAAAATTAATAATCGATTAATTTGATCATAATCAATAACAACAAATTAACAATAATGAGAAAGATGGATTTTTTTTTCTTTTTGTTTAATGATATAAATCCTATAGAGAGGTGGATAATCACGATAAAATGTTTATTGATTGATTGATTTGATCAGCTGATCGATTAATAATTTTTAATTTTTATCATATATAGAGGAAATAATTGAAATATTTAAATAATGCTTAGGGGAGATGGAAAAGTTTTTTTTTCTTTTTCTTTTTTTTTGTATAATTATTATATAAATGTCTTGTAGCGAGGATAGTTAAGACGAAATGATTTTTGATTAATTAATTGATCAATTATCGATTTTAAATTTTAAATCATGCATAGAGGATAGGGAATGTTTGATATAGCAATTTGTTATTTTCATTTTAAAACAAAAGAAAAACAAACAAATTTCTTATCCTTATTGCGCTTCATTCTTTTCTTCAACCATTTCAATATCATTGAAAATAAAACTGGAAAAATGAAATTTTGAAAATTTTGTAATGTAACATTTTAATATATTTTCAATCAAAAGGGAATATTTTTACAAAATTGTTTATTGTATTGTTGAAAAATTTGTTTTAAAAAAAGTAAAGTATTAAAATTATAAATAAATTTTAAGGAATAGTAAATAACAGAGAAAAGTTAGAATGGAATTTTTAATTTTTTCTTTTTTTTTTAATTTTTTTTTTTTTGATATTCTTATTTTGATTGTTATGAGAAAAGATTGATAAAGTATTCGATGATTTCATATAAATTGGCATATGTAATATTAGAATATTATTTACATCATTTTATTCGAGGTTTGTTAAAAAGTTTAGAAAGATTGAAAATAATATTAAAAGTAATGTTAATAGGAATAATTACTCCTTCCTTTTTTTTTTTTAAATTTTAATCATTTAATCGATAAATTGATCATTTCAACTGAATTATCATTTGATAGATTTCTTAAATGAATAATTCAGGTCCCTAGGATAAGTTATTATTTAATTAAAAAGTTATTGTCAATATTAGTGTTGATTTTTAATTAAAATAAACATTAATTTTTGAAGTTACTTGGAGAAAAAAAAAAACAAAACTCAAATAAAGAGAAGGGTGATGTTCCCTTTATTCGGGAAAAAGAAATCAAATAATTAAAAAGTTGATGTGATAATTATTTGTAATTATTTGATAAATAGACTAAAATTACAATTTAACCCTAAAATTATCCATGAAATGGTAATAATGATAATAAAATTGATTTTTTTTCCTCTTAGATAAATTATTATTGGTAATTTTCGAAATTAATTAAAACAAATAAAAGAGGAAAAACACTCAGATAAGGAGGAAGATATAAAGAATTTTAAAAAATTAGTGGAAAAAAAAAAGCTGGATAGTTAAAAATAGATTTGATTTTATAATTATTTGATAAATTTAGGTACTAAAAGTCATATAAACTTATCCTAAAGCTTTTTTTTTCTGATCGATTTTTTCCTTACTTTTAATCATAAGTAATTAAATTAAAATAATATTACTTTAAGTTTAAATAATGCAAAAAAAAAGAAACTAAGAATGTAATCAATTTGTACCTTGGTTTTTTTTTTTTTTAAATTTGATAATATACTTTTTGCAGAATATAAATGCCGCCGATAGCTGCAACACGATCAGGTCAAAATATTCGTCGTACATGTAAATTAATGAATGATATTTCAACTTCACCAACAGCAGCAACTAAAACAGCATCAACAGCATGTGGTTCTTCAGGTTATAATTTCTTCTTTTTTTTTCCCCCTCATTATTTTACGGATCAGGTTAAAATTTTTACATTATTTTACGGGCCGGATTAAAATCTTGCCATTTCTTTGTGCTATTTTATATTAATCAGGGTAATTTTTCTTTGCTGCTATTTTTACGGATCAACTTTAAAATCTTTTCATTTTTTTTTTTTTGCTATTTTTATGGATCAGGTTAGAATTTTTTTTTTGAGCAAAAATTTTACGGATCAAGTAAAAATCTTATTTGTTTCTTTTTGTATCATTTTATGATTCAAAATTAAACATCTTTTCATTCGTTCTTTCTTTTTTTTTTGCATCATTATTTAAAAGCTATAGTGTATGTGGTGTGATATTTGCTGGAAGTGTTGAAAATTTTATCAATTTTAATCATTCATTGAATTGAATGTTAGCAATAATGTTTGATAAATTTTTTAAATAAGAAAAGATAGCAATTATAAATTAAAACTAAACATTGTCATAATTTTATATATGAATTTAGTCAAGGAAAAAAAAAGTGACATTTGTAAAATTAAAATTTTAACAAGGATTATAAGATTGTTATATGATGTCAAAAATGCAGTGCTATATGGTAGCAATTTTGTGCTCAGTAACCTTTAGTCGATTGAAAATGATTGCATTTGTTGTCACATCTAGCGACAATTTTAAAAATATACATTTTATGCAAAATATAAATTCTTTGTTTTCCTTTTTTTTTTTCTTTATTATTTGTACTTTAATAGAATTATTTTTATCATTTATTCGTAAATTTATCAATTAAAATTTCATTGTCATCCAATAGTAAATATTTATGATACAAAAATAATTTTTAATTAGCACAATAGGATAGATGATAATAATAAT